TTCTACCACGGATCTAGGCCTGCCTTGCCATGGAGTTGTTATTTTGATAAACAACTTAAACAACAACTCCCTGGTCTTGTTTACGACATTTTAAGGCTGAGCGAGCGCCATAGTACATTGTCTTAAGATAAGAAATTTTGTTTTATTGCTCTATGACATCGTGGAAATCAAATTTTTCGTGAAATTTTCAGGATATTTAAAAAAATCGGGAGATTATTAATAAAAATCGGGAGGGCGGGAGACGGCCTCAAAAATCGGGAGAACCCGCGATTTTCGGGAGAATTGGGATCTCTGAAATCAGGTTGTGGCCAAAAGTGCTATGAAGGCCTTGAATAGACACTTATGGTAGGCCTATTTGACAGCCGAGCTAGTACCGCTTGCTCTGTTCAGCAGTAAGGTCCCGTCTGTCGAGAGGCAAAAACTCCTGGACACAAAACCAGAAACAGGGGGTGATGCCCCTTGTCACAGGTATGGAACGGGGTTTGGAAAACCACAATTTCCTATGCAAGTCAGCCTCCAATCCAAACTTTCCGGTTTCGTGACTGAAGACAAGTGGTTCTTCTTCAGCAGATTGCAGCTGTATTCAAATTTCCTCCACATTGACGTTGCGGTATGGCCAGAAGAAGAATCATTCAAGATATCTCTGGCCAATGATAAAGCAATGAATGACATCAATGATGCTGCAGAACGTGGAGTGAAATTGAGTTGTGACTTTCTTGCATCAGCTCGCACAGAAAAACACTATCAAAACGTCTTCCAAGTCAGTGGTGGAAGCGAACTGCATTAGCCTCAACTACTGATGCACGATGACATTGCTATGCCTAACTAGTTTTAGTTAATAAATAAGCAGCATTAATTAGCTTGCTCGATTTTTTTCTTTTGAAAGCGATTCACAATTTCAGTCATTCATACACATATATCACTGAATATTCAGAGCTTTGGTGGACCCATTAAACTTGTTCTTTTGAAACTTGTGAAATTTGACAACGTTGAATTGAATTGCAATAGGAACAAAATCAGACAAGGGACAGGGACATACTTTTTAGAAAATCAGGGGCATGGTGTGCACCCTACTGTTCATATCAGTAAGTCGGTCATAAAATGTTATTTGATTAGAGCAAAACTATTAATTTTATCTGTGCTTATTTAAATATCACTAATATAGGATAATGATCGTGTTTGTTGATTAATTATGAATAAACTTGTTGCTTTTTTCTTCCAGAAAGGCGTTATTGGAAAGCTTGCCCAACGTGCTTGCGCTACTATAGCTGAAGGACTAACAAATAACAAATGCTATCCTAATAAAGATGTTTCTTCGAATATTTTCTATTGCTCTACTGATTTGTGCAATAGTGCATTGAGCAAAAATCTTGGTCTTGTCTTAGCCTTTATTGCCTTTATGACCACCAAGTATCTGTAGAGCCAGTGATTTACCTGTATCACATATTACAATAGCTGTTTGTTGTATCATTTTAATAGGCCTACACGTGCTCTATATTTGGCATGTTAGCATAACTTTAATACTTAGATAGTACTGTATACATATTACGTATAACCGAAATATTCGTCACGATACGAAATGATGTTTAATACGAATGGAAATTTGAGAGTTTATGCCTATGTAGAAATGAACTCTGAACAGTCTTACGGTGATGCTTTAAAAACCTACAATTGTTTTTTTTTTTTTTTGTTTTTTTTTTTGTTTATTGATTTTTTTTTTTTTTTTTTTTTTTTTTTGCGAACATTGAATGACCTTTTCTTTTCGAGATGGGCTTCTTTCCGAGCTACTTTTGCAAAGTAAAGAAGGCGGGGGGGGGGGCTTCTTTTCGAAATGAATGCTGCAGATTTTGGGAATTAGTACTATAAAACAATAAATAGTGCCACTGTAACATCAATCTGTATCATGGAGTATATTACCCGGCATTAAATCACCTAAACTGCTGTATAAATCAAGCGTGTTTTAATTTATTTTGTTTCTTTGAAATTTAAGCCTAAGCTACAGTATCTTGAAAAGAAGGCCATAGGTTTTCTCTTATACACATCTACAGTGGAATTATATATTAACCTGCGGTATTCTAATAACAGATATCTTTGACCAATTTCCCATACTCTGTATCAATAAAACTGATCAACATTGTGCTCATAATCCAAAATATGCTACAAAACGTAATATTTCTTAATGAAAGTTTCTAACCTTCGAATCTGAACTAAATAATGATCAATGAGAACAAGTATTTGCTTCTGAAAATGCAAATAGCATACCAACAGTTTACAGGCACACTCAAGTCAGCAACAGATAGATGTTTCCCTATTAAGAAAGTTCGTGTAAGGGCGAATAGCACAAAATCTCCGTGGATCAATGAATGTATTTAGAAATCTATATGTAAAAAAGATAGGTTATATGATCAATATAGGCAAAACCCAACACAGAAATACAAAAGTAATTACACTTCTTTCAGAAATAAATTAACCTCTGAAATTAGAAATCGAAAAAATGAATATTACTTAAGCCAATTCGAACAAAATCAACAAATCTTACTTGTCAAGGAACTACTCTAACTCGTTATTCTTTCGACCAGTAACAGAACAAGAAATTAAAACATATTAAACATGTAAAGAGCAATGCATCCTCATGACATGATGAAATCAATGTTTATTTAATCAAGAACATTGCCCACGCTATTATAAAGCCATTTGCATACATCATCAACACTTCCCTTGTCATTGGGTGTGTGCCAGATTAATTAAAAATTGCTGTAGTAGTACCTGTATAAAAGAAAGGCGATGTTGACGATAGATTTAATTACCGACCAATATATAGCTTATCCTGTATATCTAAAATTTAGGAAAGATATACAGTGGCGTATCTAGATGTCTTAAATTGGGGGTACTGATGGGGGAGGG